TTTTGCTGCTGCGTGAATTTGGGGCTCTGTGTGCTACTTTCTCTTCTGTAAAACTCCAAGCTGACTGAGGCCTCTAGACAACTGTGACTCTTGCAAGGTCCTAGCTGGGAGGTCCACTCCAGGGGGTCCCTCCTCCTTAGTGGGTGATGTGCTCCCCCCCATCCCAAGGCCAGATCTGGTCCTTGTACCGGCTCACCATAGCGGCCCTGGGGTCCCCCAAGTATTCAGACTGTGACCCACAGCCTGTCTGGGACCCAGGTTTGACAACGCTTTGATGCTCCTCCTGCAGTTGCGGCGCCGCTTTGGGGATGTGTTCAGCCTGCAGCTAGCCTGGACGCCGGTGGTCGTGCTCAACGGGCAGGCAGCCATACGAGAGGCACTGGTGAACTGTGGGGAGGACACGTCTGACCGCCCACCTTCGCACATGCATGAGCACCTGGGCTTCGGGCCACGCTCCCAAGGCAGGTGGCTGTAGTTGCAAAGACCATGTCTGAACTGACCTGGTCAGGCAGTGACCTTTGACCTGGCTTTGTGGAGAGGGCACCCATGCGGGCACAGAGCACTAGAAAGGCCAGCTAGAGGTGGGGCACCGGGCAAGGCAAAAGCTGGTGCAAACAGTGGCAGTGTGCAGGGTGGGCAGAGCCCTGCCCAGGGCTGGTAGCAGAGTGGGTGGAGTCCTGATGAGGGGTGGAAGCAGGATGGGCTGTGGCCAGCCGAGGGGCGAGAACAGAGTAGACGGGGTCCTGCCAGGGGCCGAGCAGTGTGGGCAATGCCGGGCCCTGGGGCAGGAGCGAGGTGGGCTGAACTTGGCCAGGGAGCGAGAGTGGTGTGGGCGCGGCCCCGCGGAGGGGCAAGCCCAGTGCCTAGAGAGCCGAAGCGCAGTCAGGCCAGCCTCTAGTCTGTGCCCGCTAGGTGTGGGCAGGACAAAGGTTGGACGTGATTCCCTGGATATGAAAGTGGTCAGGTCGGAGGGAGCCAGCATGGGGACAAGACCTCTGGGCACCCAGGGGCGGCAGGTGAGCAGGATGGGGAGCAAAGAGCAGAACCTGCACCCGCTGGAAGCCGTCGGACAGGTGAGTGTCGGCGAGCCAGAGGGCAGGCTGGACTATCCTGGAAGGAAGTTGTAGGAGCCAGATGGAGGGGAGGACCATGTGGGTGTGGCACGGGCGTGTCCTGGTATGCCACCCACGCACACGCTCGTCCCAGGGGTGATCCTGGCGCCCTATGGGCCCACGTGGCGGGAGCAGCGGCGCTTCTGCTTGTCCACCCTGCGCAGTTTCCGCCTGGGCAAGAAGTCACTGGAGCAGTGGGTGACGGAGGAGGCCGCCTGCCTCTGTGCCGCCTTCGCCGACCAGGCTGGTGAGTGATGGCTGAGGGCACCGGGTGGGGCGGAGGACACGGACAAGGTGCGACCCTGACCACACCCTCGCTCCCAGGTCGCCCCTTTCTGCCCAACTCGCTCCTGAGCAAAGCCACAAGCAACGTGATCGCCCTCCTCACCTACGGGCGCCGCTTCCCGTACGACGACGAGCGCTTCTTCTCGCTGATGCGGCTGCTGGAGAGGGCCCTGAAGGACGACTCTAGCTTCTGGCACCAGGTGCGGCGGAGGGGCAGCCCAGCCAGGCACTGGTTGGGAGCAGCCCAGCCAGGCACTGGTGGGGAGAGGCCATTCCGGAAAGGCCTGGAGGTGGGGAAGTCTCAGACAACAGCAGAGAAAGAGGGGGACCCAGCAGGGACCCCAGGACACCTCTGAGGAGCCTAAGCTCCTGCCTGCGCAGAGAGCCTTGAGACATCCCAGCCTGGCACTTTATCCTCTGGGCAGTCCCTGGGTTCTCCCTGAGGTGATGGGAACTGAGACTGAGCCAGGTGACCCCAGCCCTTTCTGCGGCTGGCACAGGTGCTGCACAAGGTCCCGGCACTCCTCCGCATCCCTGGGCTGGCGGACAAGCTCTTCCCCGGGCAGAAGGCCTTCATGGCCATGCTCGATGATCTGGTCAATGAGCACAAGACCCGGGCCCCGGACCAGCCTCCCCGAGACTTCACCGATGCCTTCCTGGCCGAAGTGGAAAAGGTGAGAGGGGGAGGGGCAGCTGCCATGGGCAGAGCTGGGCTATCGGGGGAGGGCCCTGTGACGAGTGAGACCAGACAGAATTGGCGGTTCATCACCTAGACCACAGAGTACGAAAGGGGAGATCCCTGAGGGGCTTCCTCCCTCTGCCCACTGAGCCCCCCTTTCTGCCTGGCTAGGCCAAGGGGAACCCTGAGAGCAGCTTCAATGAAGAGAACCTGCGCCTGGTAGTGGCTGGCACACTCTCTGCGCGGATG